CTTATGTCTCTTTTAGGTCCAGACGACCTTTTCAGCATATTTCTGACGTGTTTTGTACACATAACATATTTTGTGCAAGCGTTGGCCTACCTTCGTCGTACGCGTTATTGTATACTTAGTCCCACAAAGAAAGATGGACGAAGGACTGCACTAAGTGTACTTCAATAAGGTGGTCGTTGTTATATCAAATAAGCACAAATAAAGCTTATGTTTGCATTGCTTTGGTTATCATTTAGGATTTAGTTTTTTTTTTTAGTTCTGTAGTTAGTTGATTAGTCCATTAAGTTTTCGTAGCATATGTGTTGTTGTTTGTTTAAAATTAATAATTTTTTTTTTATTTTTTTTATTTTGTCCAACACACAACTTGTGCCACAAGCAACCACTTACCATTAGGTGGACTGTGTGCTACCTAATGTGTGTGTGTGCTTGTTTGTCACCCTATCCTTTAAAAAAACCACAATATTTAAACATATTAAACGGTAAAGAAGCTTCCAAAACGTTAGACAAAGTAACATTAATTTTGTACTTAGACTTTTTTTACTTAAGGATATAGGTATTTTATAATTTAATTTTAAACTGTAATAAATGTTGGGGAGAAAAGTCTGTTTGTGAGTTCCTTGTCACTTTTTCTCATAAGGTCTCCTGCGGTAATAACTTATTGAAGCAATGTCGTGGCATTCTTGTCTTTTAAAAAGTGCTTTGTAAAGGCCAATTTTCAACGAACTTATTTTACTTTTTTGTGAGAAAATTCTAAATTATATTGATTTCATTTGTGGTGCAGTTTTGTGTTGTTCCATACAATGTATAAAATAATAACTTTTAACTCGGTTTTAAATAGAAGAATAACTCAATTTACGACGTGACAGTAATGCTTATATTATGAAAGCTGCACAATGGAACAAATTATCTCGTTTGTTTCGAGCTCGCCTCCACGCCGCGAAAGAAGGCGCATTTGTCTCTGCCTCACTTGACGCAGCATAGGAACGGCCACAGATAATTAATAACTCGTAATCATTTATAAAATAAAAAAGGTTTATGGTTTTAGTTTTTATTGGGCGATACGCGATTGTGAATGATTTCAAATTTCGAATATTTTAAACACTTACATGAACAATCGGATAACCATAACTACAAGAAACTTGATAGACTATTGATTGACTGCGCTAAACTTTTTAGTTTTATAAATAAATATACATAATAAAAATATAACTTGAAGAACACATATTATCTTTTATCAACATATTATCATCTCGTTGGCAGATTAGTTGAAAACTCCGTAAAGTACACATACGAATCGTTGATTATCGTTTACTTAAATTAAGTATTAATTATCCCTATACCTGTCTTTTTCTATGTTCATTTAGTGTAAAAAGAGAAAACCTTTAAGTATTTCTATTTCTTAAATTGACATCGAATTTTATGAGTTATAACCTTAATGTTTTAAAAAGGGGTTAGTCGCCAAAATAGTCTGAGAACTGCTGTGTTAAATCAATAAATGTATATGATAGGATATTAATAAGACTGTTCCTCAACATAAATTATAGAAAGAAAGTTCTGCCTCATGTGCGCTCCCATCGTAAAGTCGCTAAGCGTATGCAGCACCGTCGGTTCTCACATAAAACTCGACAGGTTGCGATTATCCAGCACAACCCGACGAAGCCCGTGACGCCTTCCGGCACGCGACACTTTCGCCACACATTCTACTACTAAGTACTACATAATGTATAGACCGAGATGCGTTGTAAAGAATTAAATTATTATTATACAGTAACTAGAGATGAGACACTCTGTTTTAGGATTACTACATAATTTAAAATGTTGTTTCTTTTAATAATATAAAATGTGTAAACTAATATTTTAATGACCTAATTCTATTTTTAAAACAAAATAATACTTAGTACTTTTATGAATTAGTCAAATAATATGTTGCTCATAAAAGTGACACTTTATATTTGAAATTAGAACAAAAAAATTTTTTAATGATTTCTTATATTTACGCGAACAATACACATAAAATGGAACGAAGTTTTATGGATTCTATCGCGTTTAATTTAACTTTATAATTCCCGACGTTTCGGGTGCTTTACAGCAGTAAGTATAAAAATTTGCATAATATATCAAGTGCTTTGTGGGTTTAATAGCGTAGTGTAATTATTGTGTGTTGTTTTGTCCTTTCCTATTCTCTATATATTTCTTAAATTCATTTTAATCAAATACCTAAAATTAAGTTCAAACCTAAAAAAGGTATCTAAACATTTAAAAAAGTAAAATTAAACTACATAAGAAAAATACAAATGAAAGCGATATGAACGTAGTTTTAGAGGCAGCAATAAGCATCGAATCGAAGTCGAGGCATTAAACAGCTGAATGGGTAAAGTTCTACACTGCTGTTCTGATTGGGGGATGCGCTGAGTTTCAGTTTTCCGGATGGATCCGTTACAATATAAATTAAAATTAAAAATTTTGTACAACCGATTTCAATATAAACTTATATGGGACCACATGAAAAACACCAGCTTTCAAATAAAAAACGAATCATCGAAATCGGTTCACATAGAACAAAGTAATGAGATAACACACATTAAAAAAATATACAGTCGAATTGAGTACCGTCTCATTTTTGAAGTCGGTAGAAAATGTTGAGCATTGATATACTAGGTACTATTAAACTTCTCAATTATTATTGTACTGAATAAGTGCTATTTGAAACATAATGTTACAATTATTGTCAAAATAAAATTATCTAGTTTAGAAATATACATTTTTTTTTGAGTGGCATAGCTAAATACTGTTACGCATTTCGATTATTTTTTTATATAGAATAAAGTAGACGAACACACATTCTAGCTAATGGATATGGACATCTACATCTATACTCGATTAAGAATCAAAATGCAGATGCGCTTTCACCCTTGAGGACTTAGATTGATCGTTTGCGTTTCCAGTAAAAAGGGTCTCCGGTTCTCTACACTCACCATACGAAACACAGCTGTATTAAGCTGCTATTTCACGCTCATATTCTGTGAGAACGTAGTCCTTACGCTGTCGAGCTGGCCCATTCGTAATACAACCATAATATAACTGCGGCGTGGCTCTACCAAGATAACGAAAGAGGAAGTAATGTATCGATTATACTGAAAAGTTTCCTCTTGTAAGTGCATAATAAATTTAACTGGACAGATTTACAATTACTATGCAATAAAATTGGCGACCATTTTGTTATTTAGATATTAATAATATCAGCTCGCACGAGTGAAATTGTGTGTTTATATAAATAATTTTATGATAGATAAATATAATTACCACGGCCTCGGGCAAACGGTTTTGAATTTAAAAATAGCACAATTATTTTACTCTTAATAAAATGGATATATACAACTCCACATGTATAAAATTCATAAATATATAATAAAGTTGTAATGTTATCGTGAATAGGTAACAATTTTTCCACGCTTAATGTTCCTGATATGTCATTCAGATAAAGCAAAGTTTGTTTTTTCTATTCGTAGGTCCATAAACGTCGACGAAACTAAAAAATATTAAAAACAATGATTCAGAGCATTGTACACTGTCACTGGATACTCGACTCATAAAAGGAGTTACTACATACATTCACTACAGCACCAACAACTAACCTAGCTAGATCTCCCATATCGTGCAGATACAGTTAATTTTAACATTAAACGCGGTATTTAGATATACTGGCCAGGTGACTACGCCCGAGGGTACCATGAATATGCAACGCCAATAAATGTAGTTTTATCCACGCTACTAACTTTCTACAGCGATGATCTAACTCTAGCGTCTCTACACAACTAAATAATAACTAGATAATTCTGGATTGTTATACATTTATGATTATTTCGAGAACTTGGAAGCATTAAGTGAATACTGTATATACACTGATATTATTATGTGAAACCGATTTGAAACATAATATGGATTCTTCATTCAAAATATGTCTTGATAAAGACAATTTTTTTTAATAAATGTAATTTTCCGATTCGTTATTAATTCATATTTAAAAAATATATAATTTAAACTGCGCTCCTTTTTAATTTTACCTATCATAAAAATATTAGAAAATTATAAACCGCCATCTTACAAATCTTGCAATCGAATCGAAGCACAAAGCGAGCCATATAATCTTTAATTTAATCACTACGATACGGGAAGGTTATTAATACTTCCTTGTATAATACTACAGATAATAAATACTTAAAAACAAAAAGGGAATTTTAGCATAAAACAAAATGAAACAATTTTTTTTTTCATTTAAAAATTAAATCAATGTATTGTTAAATTAATAAATTATAAAACTATATACAGGAAGTTAATACAATAACGAATTTAAAATGCTTTTTAACGCAGTACTAATATTTACATTTAGAAAATGTTCAATTATTAAATTAATTTAAACGAACTATCACAATTCTGACTCATTTCGAGAACAATAAGTCGCTAACTCCCATGTCAGTTTAACTGCATTCCAAGGAGCGTGAGTTATTATTCCCATATACAACGCAACGGTTAAATACGCGAGCTTATAACGAAAACCGAGCAAGGGCCAAAAGGCAAACGCAAACATCCAACACCCCAAAGTTGGTCAAAAACCCCTCACGTAAAGCGTCAACCTCCCTGATCTGACTTTGGCTTTCCACTACCACCGTCCCAGATCTTGAATGATGAGCCTGGATCAGGCATCCGTGGACTACTAGTGTAGTTTGGTGGGAGACGGGACGGTGTCGAGAGGAAGCTGCCGTAAGACAGGGAAGAATTGACCCCCAACGACGTATCAAGAGTTGAATAGTACCCCGAAGAAGCAGCAGATGGCGGTGGCGGCGCTGGCGGTTGCTGAACCCGAGTCGCCTCAGCATACGCATCAAGATGCGTCCTCACCAACACCACTAATTCCCCATAATTGGTCACAGAACCGCCAGCGCCGGCAACTCTGTAAAGCAAAAGCCGCGCTTCCCCGAAAAGACTGTCCAAAATTTTACCTGTCGTGAAGAGGACGATCGCTTTCAGACAGGAGTACTCCGCCGAGTCGACGTGGAGCGCTTTCAGCTTCTCCACTTGCTCTTGGAAGATACGTATGTGGTCCATGAAAGCCACGACGCGGTCCGCCGCCATGGGTGAGGCGTGCAGACCAGCGGCCGCTAGTAATGGAGCAACGTGAAGGGGCATTGAGCACTGGGACGCGTTTAAGACGAACAGCTCCGACCAGACGAGCCGTAATAATGCCACCTGGTCGGTGACCTGTAGGTCGGGGAAAAAGGGGATGTTTCGCGCCCACTCGACTGCTGAGAACAGTAACCTCGCTGCTAACTCGCAGATGTTGTCGATACCCATGACGTTGGTGGGTTGGACGCATTGTCCGTATCGCGAGGTTGGATAAGGCTCGGCCCGGAGTAGGAGTGATATGTAGGAGGAGAGATAGGGATGGCTGTTTAAGCCGGCTGCCGGGTCGCCATTTGCAAGGGAAAACTGGCCTGGTAATGCCAGACCCGAAGGCTGCGTTGGCGGGACTCGCCCTCTTTGTACAGCTGAAACAAAAGAAAAAGTGGTTATGAGTTGGTGGAATACTTTGTAGTTTTTTATGTTCTTTTTTTAATAATAATGTATACAAAATTTATGTCATCGCATCGTCAGATCTTTTAAGTATTTCTTAAATTCCCTATTGGCTATCAAAATTATTTTTTAAATATTATTGTAGTACTGTCAAAATGCAACGCTATGTCACATCAAGCCCAACAGTTATGGCGGCAAAATGGACACTTGACATTTGATCTTTTCAAAATTATTAAAAAACGGATATAAATAGTTAAGACCTTATAGTAAATGGTTAAAACTAACCTAATAACAAGTCATAATCAAAAATGTCACTTTCACTGCATCATTTAAATTTTTGATCGCCAATTTATATTTTGTGGTTGTTATATTATATACCATTTAATTTTAAATACATAATTTAATACATTTCAAACAGCTTAAGAATTAATAGACCATCAGTTGTAGTGTATAATTTAAATAAAGATAATAACAATAAGTACATAAACTTTAAGGATACAACTAACACACCCATTGAATTATTAAAAGCAGTAGATGGCAATTAGCATGTGAGTATGCCATTACGGCACGCGCGTAATAGCTCAGTTTATGGCCTCCGAACAACTGTCAGGCGTGTGGCGAGAAACGTAAATTAATATGGCTTCCTATTGTGACGTCTTGAGAAACTTTTGTGTCTTTTCAATTATTACTCACTCATATTTCAAAGACTAACACTACCTAATTAATAAGATAAGCTTGTAAAATTTAATTATTTTTGCATACATTCATAAATAATATTATGTGGGTGTAGTAAAGTATATTTCTAAAGAATAAGGTGACAAACGAGCAAATAGTTCCATCTGATGATAAGTGGATGCTTTGTCCCGTAGACATCCACATCTATCCTGAATAAATAATCCAAATATATAACATGATTAAGATGGAAAGCCTCGTTTCCAGTAAAAGGGGTGTTCGGTTCTCTACTATCGCTATTTAACGCTGGTATTCTGTAAGAGCGGGGTGCTGCCTCGGTCAAGCCGACCCACCCGTGCTACAACTATAACATACCAGCAGCATAGCTCTACTACGATAAAAGTATATAGAAAAAAAAAGAGGTGGTAGTATTTTTTTAATATTAAATTATTTGAAAAGGCTCTTGTATATATAATAATTTTATAAAATATATATATATATATATATATATATATATTCCATTGAGTATAGTAAAATTTATTATACTATTAGTACGTATATATATATATAGTATAATAAATTAATAACTTAGGGACCTTCAAGAAAAGAGCGTACTCCTTTTTAAAAGGCCGGCAACGCATCTGCGATTCCCCTGGTGTTGCAGTTGTTCATGGGCGGCGGTAGTCACTTACCATCAGGTGAGCCGCATGCTCGTTTGCCCCCTCTCCTATAAAAAAAAAATATATCTCTATACACAAAAATCATTTAGTTTCGCAAAAACTCAAAGCTGGCTCAACCGATTTTGATGAAATTTTTGTGTGTATTTGAATGGCTCCCTAAATGGTCTAAATTCACACTTGTACCCGATAGGTGGAGCTGTTTTCGAGATCCAGAAATCACTCGTGCAAACAGGAGATAGGCAGCAGCATCTTCCTAATAAGAACAAAAAATATATAAAAAAAGGGTTTGCCATTTCACCTGCCAAGTGCAGCAACTATGGCAAATATGGGTCAATTTATGGCAAAGGCCTAAGTTCAGTTGTAAACTTTGAAAGGATGATTATAATAGAATAAACAACAAAAAATTCAGCTCTCATGGACTTTAAACTCAATGGAATATATTACCTACATATTCCATTGAGTTTAATTTATTTTACATAAAACGTGAATGAACTTTTGAAATGCATATTTGCAACGCCGCCATTTTAACGGACCGACGTGTACATGATAAGAAGAAATGGTTCGATTGGTCAAAGTATAAACATGACGCACGTAATCTACATCAATTCCGTAACAAATATGTTCGTATATTAACTTAATATGAACATTCGTTAACTAACATTACTCTTATATCTAATGTAACTGCTACATTTACCTATATCCCTTTGTAATTAATAGAATCAGGCGTTACTTTGCGGAAATCCATTATATAAAAGCTTTTACAAAAATTTACTTCGCAAATATCCGCGTTATAAAATAAAATGATGTGTCTTACCTAGTACGAAGAGCACCTCCCGCCCTCCCTCAATAGCATGCACTATCCTATCTATAGGATTAGTGGTGACGGGGATAGTGCACGCAATTGAGGGAGGGCGGGAGGTGCTCTTCGTACTAGGTAAGACACATCATTTTATTTTATAACGCGGATATTTGCGAAGTAAATTTTTTTAAAAGCTTTTATATATCCCTTTGATTAATCCAACGAAACGTAATATATTTTTTAATATACGTAGTAGAGCCACGCTACAGCTATATTATGGTTGTAGCACGAATGAGTCAACTCAACCGGTGAAGGACCACGCTCTCACAGAATACCTGCGTGAAATAGCAGCTTAAGGCTGATGCGTTTCGTATGGTAAGTGTTAAATATCGGAGCCTTATTTTTTACTGGAAACCTGACATCCTCCATGTTAGTCCTCATGGTGACATACACGGTTACCAGTAAAAAGGGTATCTAGTTCTCTACACTTACGATACAATAAACAACAGCTATAAATAACTATTTTATGCTTGTACCTGGTACTCTGTTGAGAGCGCGGTCTTTCGCCGATCAAGCCGACCCATATTATGCATTGCAGTCATAATATAGTCGCAGTTACAGCGTGACTCTACCAATAATAAGGTACTGACTTGAAGTACATTATTGGAAAATGTTTTGAAAGTACTTCATTGTCACCGAGGGAAACAAGTTTCGACTAATGTTTTGCTGATTTTTGTCATCTATACAAATATATAAAATTGAAGTGTCTGTTTGTAACGCCAAAATAACAGCTTTTCACTAAATGCATATGAAAGTATATATAGTACTTATAACAAAAACACAAGTTTTAAAAAATTTTGTCTGTCTGTCTGTCCGTCTGTCTATCTGTTTGTTTGTTCCGGCTAATCTCCGAAACGGCTGGACCGATTTTGATGGGATTTTCACTGGCAGACAGCTGATGTCATAAGGAGTAACTTAGGCTACTTTTGTTTTAGAAAAAGAATTAGGGTTCCGCGCAAAAAATTAAAAACCTAAATTACACGTAGGCCAAGTCGCGGGGAACAGCTAGTTATGAATAATTATAATGACAAAAAAGATGATAAATCTAAATGGTAGAAATTCTTTTGATCCCGTCTGCGTACGTTTCACCCTACCTACCTATCTCACACTACTATTCTTCACCACATATCTATTCTTCAATGTGTTCCGGTCTGAAGGGTATTTATATATAGAGCATTGGTGTGGTTTACACGTTAAGTACTCCCACTATAAATTAATGAGGGCTAATAATTTTCTGCTCACCAGATGTCGCTAGTTGACACTGATATAAAGTTTTTGTTAATCAATGTAATTTAATTGAGAAGTCGTTTTTTAATAAAGGTTTATCAGTTTCTAGAATATTATATTAATACACAAGACAATGCGTTAGTGGTTTTCTCTTTAACTTTTTTGCAAATTTTTTTTTTAATTTTTCTACTTTTATGAATATCTGTGGTTTGGTTTATTTATTTTACTTTCATAACGTTATTAATATAAAAAATAGCTAATAGTACAAAAATAAACAATAACTTTTACATTTTCCGCACAAATTAAAATCCCCGCTATGAAATCTGTCAAATATCACTTTGTAGTGGCGCCGTTCTAGTGGCAGAAAAAGTCGTGCATGCCCATTCAAATGGAAAATCATCATCATTGTCTTGTATTACTTTAATGTGTAACTATTGACCCAATAAAAAAATATTAGAGAAGAGTATAATTACGACCTATGTGGCATTCGATCTGAGTCGTCCGAGGTGACAACGCATTTGCTGCCCTTTGGTTAAAGTTGGTTGCATGAGTCCATGGATTGCGCTTACCACTTACCATTAGGTGGACGTAAGATTTATTACTTCAGTTAAAAAAAATCATCATATTACATCCTATCAAAAGTCCACTGCTGATGATAGACTTCCACCATAGATTTTCTTTTCTATTTTTTTCTTTATAGGATAGGACAAACGAGCGCACAGTCCACCTGATGGTAAGGGGTTGTTGTGGCCCATAGACATCTACATTTATCCTCGTTTGCGAATCAAAATGCAGACGCGTTTTCACCCGTGAGGACTAAGATGGAATGTCTCTTTTCCAGTAAAAAGTGTCTCCGGTTCTTCATACCATACGAAACAGCAGCATTAAGCTGCTGTTTTACGCTGGTATTCTGGGAGAGCGTGGTCCTTCCGCGGTCGAGCCTAACCATTCGTGCTACAACTATACTACTAGTATAGCTGCAGCATGGCTCTACCAGGTACATAACATAAAGATAGCCTCATGCTGATTTTGCCACACTTGCCACGCTTGACAAACGTGTAGGCAACCGCAGTTTATTATTTCAGTTGTTATCAGAGAGATGCAGCTGCCCATCTCCTATTTAAGTTTAACCTGTCGCGTCTCAACGACCACGGGATGATATAGGGTAGTGGACATCCTTACGCCACTGCTACTACACATCAAGATTTTGTCCTCGTTTGTTATCAAATAAGGTATCTCGGTAAATCGTCTCTGAATACCGCAATGTTAACGATTTTGATTATAGCTGTCCCGCCGCGTTCCGTTGATGCAACAATTTAACTTCGGCCCAGTGTAATTTCTATTAATGCGATTTAAATTGGTGACCGGCTAGAATTTGACCTCTATTACCTGTTATAAGGTCGCCCGCGGTACTGCACGTGTTTTTTTTTGTATACGTTTTTGTCTATTGTTTATATGTTCGAGAATAAAATAAATTTTAACATTATGTCAAAAGCGGTATACGTCATTGTTTAATACCAATGACGTGTGTCCTTTT